GCTATCAGGGTTGGGATATCGTAAATATCATAGGGTTGTATCACATGAAATATGCTATCAGGGTTGGGATATCGTAAATATCTATAGGGTTATATCACATGAAATATGCTATCAGGGTTGGGATATCGTAAATATCCATAGGGTTATATCACATGAAATATGCTATCAGGGTTGGGATATCGTAAATATTCTTAGGGTTGTATTACATGAAATATGCTATCAGGGTTGGGATATCGTAAATATTCATAGGGTTGTATTACATGGAATAAGTATCCCACATGGGCTAAAATGCAATATTGTCTGTGATGAAACATAAAATATAATATACTACAATGAAATGTTGTTGTTTTCACGACTAGATATCTTCTGGAAGATCAGTTACGTGGACCTAGCAGTACTGAAGCATATGTAAGGGCTCTCAGATTGGGTTGCCGATGTGTTGAATGTAAGTTAAACTTAATTCAATATATTGGAAAAATGTTTGATTTGCTCCTTTGCTTTCTATCCATAATGTCTGTAGAATTTCTATTCAGTTCAACAGAATTAATATAAAATATAAAATTTCATTCAATTTGTATGCAAGATAAATTAGACTTATAAAGTTTCAAATTTCTGTTGACTTTTTTTATGTACATTTATAGAATATTTTTCTATTGATTTTTTATTACCAGGTAGTCCCTGTTCGGACGCAGTCTGAAAACGAGGGCTTATGTTTTGACCTCTGTGCATCCGTGTGTCCGTCCGTGTGTGCATGCGTTTGAGCCTGTATCTTAAAAATGCCTAGACCAATCACAATCAAACTTCACACATACATCATACATGATATTATACATATGCACATCAATTTGTTTCATGATCTGATTCAAGATGGCCGAATGTCGGCCATTTTTGTTCTAAAAATCATCAAAATCAAGCATTTCTCGGCTGTTTCCAGATGGATTTTGTTCAAACTTGGTATATACATTGGACATTATATGACCTTGATGCACATTATTTTGTTTTTCAGATAAGATTAAAAATGGCCGACTGTTTTAATGAATGTGGTTCCAGTGCCATATCTCTGACTTGCTGTGACTGATTATGTTCAAATTTTAAATATTCTTTATACAGCTTGTCATAGATATACAGATCTACTGGCTTGACGATTCTATTAAAAATGGCCGAATGATGGCCTTTTTTGTGCTAAAAAATCATCAAATATTAAGCATTTATGAATGGATTTTGTTTAAACTTGGTACATACATTAGACATTACGGGTTCCGGATGCACGTTATTTTATTTTTTAGATCAGATTCAGAATGGCTATCTAGTGCACATTTGTTTTAATGAATGGGCTTCTAGAGCCATATTTCTGACATGCTTTGACTGACTATGTTCAAATTTTATATATTCATTATACATGTATTAAAAATGGCTGATTTTGTTTTAATTAATGCTGTTCCAGAGCAATATCTCTCAATACTTGTTTGATGATCAGATACAAATGTCAATCATTTAAACAATCATCATATTCCTGACATGTTTATATTCCAGCTATATTACTATAAACAAAACTATATATCTTAAATTTGATAACTAATGAGGACTGGTGCCATGCATGGCTTGTGTTTATCAGTTTTGGTGTATGTTTCACTAAATTTCTATAAACATCATTATAGTGTGTGTTTTTTTTTTTTGGTTGGATATTAAACCAAAGCAATCATATTACTTTATCTGTATCCTAACCTTTCAATGTTATTTCTTTTCTCCAGTGGATTGCTGGGATGGTCCTGACGGTGAACCAATTATTTACCATGGTTACACATTAACTTCTAAGATCAGCTTCAAAGATGTGATTAAAGTAATCCATAAATATGCATTTAAGGCATCTAAGTGAGTGTTCACTTTAAAATC